ACTATTATAATAGGAAAAGAATAAAGAATATAATTTGACATAATAGAAAGAAACAATTTCCTCTATCTCAGTTATTTTTCCCTTGGTTGTCTGAAATGACAAAAAAAAGAAAATAATTCTCCTTAATTTCTGCATGATGATAAGACTATTAAAATCCTCACATCTCTCGGCTCTTAAACTTGGAAGCATTTATTTCCATGGTTTATGTGGCTCTCATGTTATCTTTAACATCCAATGTCACGTTCCCTCTTCTGCACGTGTTAAGCCTCAGGACTCTTCGTCCAACAACAATCAAATACTAGAATGCATCTAAGCTTCTTCTTCGTGTTGACCACATTCATCTAAAAATAATCTTGGTTCTTCACATTAAGCCCTGTCCACATTGAGCCCTCTTCATGTGTGTGCTAGCGCAAAAATTTCTCTTTTTAGCTCACCTTGCAACTCACCTTCACTGCCATCTTGTGGGCTCACCTTCATTGCTTGCATCACTCTTAATCTCAACACATTTCAAAAATTTAGACATCGTGAATCGCTCCTTCAACTCTTTATTGTAACCCACTTCTTCGTTCATTCCAGTCTCACCATCGAACTCCCCCCTCAATAGGCGCTACAAAATAATAGCATTTATTTAACACCGCTCTTGAGCTATCAATCTCCTACAACTATTGACCCATAGATCAGGTGTTCTACACTTTGTCAAATTTTTATGATAAAAACCTCCAACGGTTAGTACTTGCTTATTAGCCAGTCGTTGCTCATACCCTGCGATCTTCTGATAGGAAACACTTGAAGATCTCAAGTATTTTCTATCAATCTTCGAACAACAGCGAACTTTCTCCATAATAATCCGCACAAAATCACAAAAACAGTAGATAATTTGTATGATTTGATGAAAGGAACACGGAAAATAGCAAGATAAACTTGATCCTCAATTCGAGAGGAGGATCGATCTCTCCCAAATCTCTAGATGCCGCTAGAGCTGAAAGAAAACCTAAATCTAAGAGATCTCAAATTTCAGTCAAATTCAAGATGCCATAACCCTAGCAAAATCAACTATTTAATTCATACAAATCAAAAGGAAATCCCTAACTAGTCCATACATTCAAATTTCCCTCTCAAAACCGTTAAAAAAACTTCCTAAAAAGCTCTGCTTGGGCTGTCAGGCCGCCCGATCTCCGCAGGAGGTGGAGATCCTGCGTCAGTTTGCGAAATGCCGGTCTGGACCGGTCTAACAATACTCCCCTCCCAAAGATCCACCTTGTCCTCAAGGTTGAAATATGCTCGTGTTCCCGTGGAGGTGGTCATCCTTGAGGTGGCTGAAAAACCTTATCGAAATGTTGAATTAAGGGCTGCACTGAAAGAGAAACATCCACTCCCTCCTCCAATCTGATCGCATCCAACCTGTGTAGTCCCACCAGATAATCTTCTCCCACCTCTTGTATGTCCCAAACCATGGTCTTAAGTGATGTCATGGCTTTGGATAGCCCCTCATCGCCCCTTATAACCACCTTTCTCCCATCCACCATTAATTCCATCATGAGTGCTCCCCAATTGTCCTTGATTTCCCCCAAGGTTTGCAACCACTTCATCCCCAGGATAACATTAGTACTTCCTAACTCTAGTGGGAGAAAGTCCTCCCTTACTTGAATCCTCTGGATGGCCAACACCACTCCTCTACAAATCCCCTGGCCTTTCTCCACCTTCCTTGTACCCATCATCACTCCATAACAATCGGTGTCCACCAACTTCACTCCCAATTGATCAACGACCTAAGTGGAAATGAAATTGTGGGTAGCCCCACTGTCAATTAGCACCACCACCTCCCTGCCCTCTATCTCCCCCTTCACCTTCATGATATGATTCGTAGTGAATCCTATCACTGATTTCAGGGAAACCTCATCCAGATCCAAGTGTAGCTTCTCCTCCTCTGTCTCCTCCTCACCTCCCTCCTCCTCAGTTTCCTTATTATCACAGACGGTGAGAACCTGAAGAGTTCGGTCCATGCACCGATGCCCTGGCGTATACTTCTCCTCACACCTGAAACACAACTCCTTTGTCCTCTTCTCCTGCATCTCCTTCTTTATCAGCCTCTTTAAATTTTCCCCACTCCCTCCTCCTACTGGCTTCTCCCTAGTGGTCTCATTAATGTTGCCTGATGCAGGCCCCTTGGGTGCTAGAAGAGTGGTCGTAGTCTTGTAAGAGCCTCCTGAGCTGCTGCTCCTGGCTCCCTTCTCCAGATTCTTCTGATTTTCCACCAGCTGTGCCAACTTCATGGCCTCCCCCAAGTCACTTGGCATCAGAACTTTCAATACCGCTCGGATCTCTGCCTTCAACCCCTTCATGAAGTTCCCCTCTAACACCGTATCTGATAATCGCTCCACCCTACTGGCTAGGTGCTCAAACTGCTCCCGATAGTCTGCTACCGATCCCTCATATGCTAGAGAAAAGAACTGCTCATAAAAACCTCCTCCCCGGTCGGTTTGAAAACGTTCTATTATGCAATCCTTGAATTCCCTCCAGTCCCTGATAAGTCCCCTCTGGTCTCTCGACTGGTACCATGACAGTGCCTTCCCCTCCAAACATAGGCCTGCTGCTGTCAGCTTCTCCTCCTCCGTTAGCCCATTAACAGCAAAGTACATCTCCACCTTATAGATCCACCCATACGCATCCTCCCCTTCGAAGATACGTATCATCAACTTCCTCACCTTCTGATCTCCACCATCCCCCCTTATTCCTCCATAGCTTCCCCTCTCCCAAGTGCTCGGCCCACCTCAAGTCTCCGGGTTTTCCCTTGCCCTGCCATAGCCCAAAACCCCTTCGAATTCCCCTCTTCTTCCTTCAAAATCAGCACCTCGACGACCATAATGTCCCTCCCGACATTCCCAATCAGCACCCCTTTGCTCCGTCCCTCCATACCCATGCTTTTCCCCATACCTACCTCCTCTATCCTCCCTCTGGAAAGGCTCCATATAGGGTTTCCTTCTTTCTCCCTCCATGATTTCCACCTCATTTTCCTCCCTACGAATTTCAGAATTCGTGTTTTTTCTTTCCTCCTCTTTTCCCACGGAAGCCGCCGTTTGGTTGTGGATTTCCAACATTTTCTTCATCATGACCCGGAGATCGGCTACTTGTCCTTCCATGGAGGAAATTCTTTCCTCCGCCGTTGTCTTGATTTGGTTCATCTCCCCTTCAAGCCTTTCTTCTAGCGCATCAACTTTCTTGGCCGCCATCTCGATCCGAACTTCTCTAAATCCAAAAATTATGGATTTGGATTATAAAAATAGCACTTCGTCCCTTCTCGACCAAAAATTGGGCGCCGAACTTCGCCAAATCAACCCATGAATGGTCCCAAGACTTGCTCTGATACCAATTTGATAGGAAACACTTGAAGATCTCAAGTATTTTCTATCAATCTTTGAAAAACAACGAGCTTTCTCTACAATAATCCGCACAAAATCACAAAAATAGTAGATAATTTGTATGATTTGATGAAAGGAACACGGAAAATAACAAGATACACTTGATCCTCAATTCGAGAGGATGATCGATCTCTCCCAAATCTCTAGACGCCGCTAGAGCCCAAAGAAAACCTAAATCTAAGAGATCTCAAATTTCAGCCAAATTCAAGATGGCCTTACCCTAACAAAATCAACTATTTAATGCATACAAATCAAAAGGAAATCCCTAAACAGTCCCTACATTCAAATTTCCCTCTCAAAACCCTCAAAAAAACTTCCTAAAAAGCTCCGCTTGGGCGGTCAGGCCGCCCGATCTCCGCAGGAGGCGGAGATCCCGCGTCATTTTGCACTGGACCTATCTAACATCTTCCTTCATTGGCAATTGATCTCCTACAATTGTATAACCATTAATTCGACTTTCCAAGCGTGATTTTTCTATCTCCTACAACCATCAAATTTCATCACTTTCCAGTATTCACGACAAATGTTTTTTATCTTTCTAGTTGTTCGTCTAATTGAGTGCTTTGTACCTTTTTCTCCCATATGATCAAATTTATCATTTAGATCAAAAGTCGGAATTATACTCATTTAGGATCAAACTTCATCAACAAAGAACAAATTGAGTTAATCCAAAAAATGTTCAGACAGTCATCAAACAATTGTCCCTCCCTTCACCAAGTTTGGTATAAGTTCATTGGCCCAAACAAGTAATTTTATAAATGCCTTAAAAGTAAACAAGGTTAAATAAAGGTTTTGGATTATAAATTATGGTGCCTCAGATCATATCACAAGTGATATCTTAATTATAGAAAATTATAAATCATGCAAGAAGGAACTCACTATATAATTGATAATGGTTCAATATCAAAAGTTGATGAAATTGGGGTTGTTTGTATCAAACAAATTAATCTCAATTCAATCTTAATGGCACTAAACCTTGACAACCTATTGTCTGTCAACAAACTCATCCTCACATAGTGCAATAAAAGCTTGATGTTGTTAATGTCGTTGTTATTGAAGCAAACATGGATAAATGGAGCTAACGCCAACCCCAAATATTTAGTATGAAACTAATGATAATAAATATTTCTAATATCAATTTATACGTGTCATTGTCCTGCTTTAAGAGATTGAACAAAGCTTGCACTCTCTTGCAAGGTTCCACAACTGAGGTGCCCAGGCTGTGACTTTAAGTGAGCTGTAGTGTACCAAAAACTACATGTTCACCTCAAAAAACATAAGACGCCAGGGTTTAATACATTTGCAAGTGCAAATGCACCTAGACATATTTGGAATACAAGTAACATACGTTGGGTATGTAATGACAAACATAATTCTGTCATTGATCAAGAGTCAAAAACAAGAACAGGATTCAACGGCCAAACTCTTGAAAGAGGCTGGCTAATTCATTGCGACTAGTCTTTTAATTCTTCCTGGCCATAACTATTCATCATAAAGACCATATGAAGGTAGCCAATTCAGGCTAAATTTGATTCAAGTCATGGTACAATAAGAAAACTGATAAAGACTAGCTCTAAGTACCTTATACTTCATCTGAATCCGCTGAAGACTGACGTTACTTTCCATAAGTAGACGCTTGGTTTCTTCCCTCTACAAAGAAATTCATAATAAGCAACTTAATCATATCTAAACTATCAGATTCACGAACATAAATTCATGACAGAAACTTAATTATTACCCTAAACGGACCTTAATTAAAGCCTCCAATACTGTTTTTGCCTGGCCCAAGTTACGCCTAACCTGAAATTTGACCAAATATCAGTAAACAAAGGCATCACATAATGATTACATTTTAAAGAAAAGAGCACTCTTTCATTATAAGTTGCAAAGAAAAAACAGGAAATCACCTATTTTATTACATGATGTAAATAACACCACTATAAAGTAATTTTCCCTTTATTTTAGCATCTAAATAATTAAACAATTAAAACAGGTTAAGCAAACTAAACCCCCTATTGTATTAAAATCTAAAGCTGACAATTAAATATAGAAGAAAGTTAAATATTAAATATTGACGGAAGCCTCTTGCACCAGTACACTCATTTTCCTGTTATCATGCATAATAAACTATATCATGAAGTAGATTAAAGATAAATAACATAATTTTCATTAAGAATATAACATAAGAAACTTTTCCTGGAACAACATAACCAATCTAGCCCAACTGCCTATAGCACACCCAAAGCTTTCCATTCTAAGGAACTACCATTCCAGAACCTTATTTTACACTGGATAATCATGGTTCTACTACTCAAATAATAAACATGTGACTTCAATCCATCCATCCAAAAAATAAAAAAGAGAACACTTCCCTTATAGCATCTCTCTTAGAAGCTAGACATAGAAGTTCACATCAGCAATATAATCAAAGAATCTTTAACAATTTCAACCATAGTGGTATATTGAACTGGATAGAAAATTTTGGGGGAATACTGCTTATTCCTAAGGGTTAGTGTGGTGCAGGTAATTTAGGTTACTTTATATAGTGGTATACTACTAAAAATCAAAATTCAAATTAATAATAATGAACGATTCAACCAACAGTCACTCCAGAAATTAAACCATCAACGGGAAAAAGTTTGGAAAGACATTTAGTAGAATCCAAGGATGTGATACAACAACTCAAAACACCACACCCTGAATAAACAAAGTAGGCTCATGGGAGTCATGAAGATAGTATCATGTTATAACTATCGTGCCTTTAAGCAAGGGTGGACATGACATAAATGACCAAAAATAATGAAAGAAGATGGTAAGGATCAACATGAATGACAAAAGAACTACCTGGACTCATTCAATACATGCAAGAACCAACAGCATTCAGTTAAAATCAAGGTTATGATCACAGGTTAAACCATGACAGTTTAATCAATCTTGGCATATGTTGCAAGAAAATTTATTATTTACCTGACGTAGTTTCTCAAAGGACTGGACATTGTTCTCCCTTCTCTGCATCTGAATTAAAAGGAAGAGAAATAAATTAAAAAAAAAAAGTAACACCTCTCCAGTAGTGCGCCTACTGCCCATTTTTGTGAATAAATAAATTAATTTAGCCATCATATGTTGACGGATAAATGTTTCAAATGTTAAACTACATGTTGCACCCACCCTCCTTGTGTGAAGGCGATGGGCTTTCTCCCTTGGTCTGAAAACATTGTAAGGATTTGTATCATTAACTGGTGGGGGTGGCTGCAAAAGCCAAAAAATAGAAACTCTTAGATTGCATAAATGACATCAAAATGATGGAAGTTAAGAAAAATAAGTTTATAAAAATATAAATTAAAGGTTACATCTCTACAAACGGGCAGAATGCATATAGACAGTACAGATGCAGCCTTAAAGTTCAAAATATCAAAATGCGCAAAGATAACACCTAATCCCTATACTTCTTGTTTCCACTTTGTGATTGCTTCAGGTGGGATAGAATTGCAACACTGACCACAAAATTAGTTCCTTATGGCACTAATTCTTTTCAATGTAATGCACAACAACGTCAATGCAGAGGTATTGGCAGTGCGTTAAGTATGAAAACCCTAATCTGCTTTGGCATTGAGCTCAAGGGAATATGTTTCACCTAGCACAGTTTCCAAATTTCAGCTTTATTGTGAGAGCATGGCCGTCTCCATGGATTTGACCATGACGGTTGAGGACTTTTTTATCTTGCTTTTAGCAAAACATAATTAATACTTTTAAACATTATTTGAAGTTCCCCGGATCAGTCATTAGAAGTCAGGTACTTGATTCTCATGGCAGGCCCCGTTGAGACTAGCAAGGTTAGTTGACGTTTTACTATTTTGCTAAAACTTAATTTCCTTTTCCCTACAAATAGGGCTTCACAGTCAACGGAGACACTGACGATCATAAGACTAACAAGAATGGGACAACTTATAAGTTTAGATATGGTGGTAATACTTTGATGGTGAAATTCTAATTATCCATTGACAACTAAATCTTTACAAAGTTCAAAAATGGACATAAATCTTTCTAAAATTATGTACAATATGATTGAACTTCGATCCATTAACAATTTTCCTTACAGTTTGTAAGTTTTATTTTTTAATTCTTCATCTCATCGTTTGCACTCAATGCTAGGAATCAACCCATCTTAATGTTGGCTGACCTGAGAAAAGGAATTTGCAACTGGAATTCTATGATGAAATGATCGTTGCATGTGATATTTAATTGGAAAAGTTTTTGGCCATTTGAGCCTCAACCTTTAACTAAACTGTTGTATGCAATAGTTAAAAGATCTTACCCTGAAATAATATGGAAGCAGGCAAAAGATCTAAAGCTCTATTCAATGTCCCTAATTCCAGTACAGATCATAACAATTTCATTATCTAGCGACATTAAATTGCATATACAGCAGTGAAAGACATAGGTATGAGAGGTAATAGCAGTGTTATCTGTAAAAACAAGCATAAAACAACAGAACTTCAGCTTTATTTAAGTAGCAGAAGTATATTGTCCCTAAATATTGATAACTAACAACAAAACGTTGCTATAATGTTCAGAATACAATAGAACTAACCTGTAATCGTCTTAATATTGGTTTCTGCCAATGTTCTCGCTGAAAAAAAGTAATGAGCCATCCATAAGAAAACATTCCAAAACAGAAACAACAGTTTAAAAAACTAGTGCAGTAACACAGAAAATACAGGTTTCCTTAATTAAGGCACACAAAGCTTTACAGAATAACTGCAGCAGATGTTAGATAAAGCCTAACCACAAAACATATATATTTTTTGCAGAGTAGGTTACAGACCTTTGATTTCCAGTAGTAATATATAGATTGAATAACCGCAAGCCGCAAAGATTGCCCCTGCAAGGCCTGTAAAATAAAGGAATCATAAAAATTTACAAATGAAGAAGTATGCCCTGTTACTACAAAAAGTCAAAAACAGATTTGAATAATGACAAACCTAACAAATATCACATCAGCATACAAAATATGTTAAAGAAAATTAAAGACCAAAGACCTTGTATGACCTCCATAAAGTGCATGGTAATACCATAGACAGATGAACTTCTTGTTAACATCAAGTCAATAAGAACATTAAATAAAAGCAACTTCAACAACAATAGCAACAACATCAAGCGTTTATCCCACTACGTGGGATTGGCTATATGAATCTTTTTTCTCCATTATGTCCTGTTAAGAGTCGAAGTCTCATTTAAATGTAATTAAAAAAAAATATCATTTCTAATATTTTCTAAACAAGTCTTTTAAGTCTACCTATACATTTCTTAACATAGGCCAAAGCTAATACATCTACTCTCCTAACCAAGTCATCACAAGGTTGATGTTTTATGTGACCAAATCATCTAAGTTGACTCTCTCTAATCTTATATGCCACTGGAGCTACTCCAACCCATACTTGTTAACGACAAATGGCGCACCATGGCGCAAAAGTCCCATTGGAGCCATGGCGCATAGCGCGGCACGCACCATTTTGAACATGGTACAAATTATTCAAGAATTATAAAATAATAAGCATGAATATGAAATATCATTAAACTGAAAGACAAACTATCATAATAACAAGCAAACAATGACAATACAAATAAATAACAATCTAAGCAATTTACTCAAGCAATCACCCAAGCAATTAATTTAAACAGATAACCCTGTTATACTTTGCAGAATATTTATCTATCCTAACATATCATTCTACATTCTAAAAACTATCTACTAGTTAACTAACATGCTAAGAAAATTACTACGTCCAATCAAGATATCACTTCAGTCACAATCATATCAAGTCCATTACTAAAAAAAGTCACTTCAACTTTCATGTTCTCCATCAAATATATGCCTTCATATAATAAATTCCAATGAGATTATCCTTCAACTTGTATCTAACAATTTCAAGTCATCTAACAATTTCAAGTCCAATAAGTAATCAATCTTCGTACAACTCAAATATACTTAAATGAAAGCAAATAGCATTAAGAAGATAAAAATATGCAATCTAACATTTATCTTAACACTTTTAATATATTTAAAAAATATAAAATATATTATCTTAAAAATAAAAAAATAAATATAAAAAATATTTATAATTACATTAAAAAATTTTTAAAACAATGGCGCCATTTTGAAAACCATGGTGCCGTAGGTGCACCGCCATTGTTTTAAAACAATGGCGAGCGCCGCGCCATACACATAGCGTCGTAGGTGCACCGCGTCGCGCCGTGCGCCACGGTATACGGTATTTTGCACCATTGACATCTATGCTCCAACCTTTTCACATATATGCTTGTTTCACGTTCCATCTCTAAGAGTAAAATAATTCATCCACTTGAGCATCCTCATCTCTGCAACACTTAACTTAATGCTTTTCTTTTAATAGTAACATTCTACGCCATAAAGCATTGTAGTCTCAACACCATCTTGTAAAAATTTTCCTTAAATTTAAGGAGAATTTTTCTATCACACAACAAGCCCGATACATTCCTCCACTTCAACCATCCAACTTGAACTCTACTAATAATATCCCCATCTATTTCACCATCACTCTGAAAAATAGACCCGAGATATCTAAAACGTGTACTCTTATAAATAACTTGATTGCCCAAAGCAACAACCCCCCCCCCCCAATTAGATCTATTACTACTACAAAAATTACACTCCATGCATTTGGTTTTAGATCTACTCAAATGAAAAGGTTAACCTCCATAATTCAAGTTTACCATCAACTCCCTCTGTAGTCTTATCAATAAAAAGAATATCTCAAATAATCAAATTGCTCAAACAAAAAACTAAATAGGAGAGGAAAGAGAACATAGAAAGCAAAAGTTGTAATAGTTTCTATAACAATGTTAAATGAGACTAGTAAAGTGTAAATAGCCACTATTAGTTCAAGTTTGACAAGAAAGGTTAACATCAATGTTAAGTGGGCAGCCAATCATAAGTCAATGTCAAAATTCATGAAATGATTGGATATCAATATTTATTAGCGCTAAGGCATTGCTACAAGCAATATGCCACAAGCTAAAAAACATTAGCTAGGATGTCACCCATAAGTCATAAAATCAAGGGTTGGCATGAACATAGTTAGTAAGTAAAGTCACAAACTAGTTCTAATGAAAATGGGAGTGATTAAAATGGCTAGAAAAAATAAATAAATACTGCATATGTTCAGAAAACTTTAATGAAAATGGAAAAAAAAAACCACAAATATAGTGATGGTCATATTAAATTATAGTCATAGTTTAAAATTGCGCAATTAGAGGGGCGCCTCTGCGCAATTCTGGGCAAAATCGCCTCATTACTTAAGTCTTTTTTGCTCTTCGTGAGGCGCACGCCTCTGTCCTTGTGAGGCGCACCTTTGAGGCTGAATTGCGCAATTCAGTGTGAGGCGCACGCCTCTAGTAATCGGGACCCACACACTTAAGGTCTAAATGAATTCAGCTTTCTTCCTCCCCTCTCATATCTGCCTACCTGAAACCGAGCAGACAAAAAAAGTCGTAGGCCCGCAAGCCTCTTTCGCACTACATCCGCTCGGCCTCCCTTCTCGCCGCCTCTCCCGCCAGCGCCGCCTCACTCCGACGATCTTGAAGTGTCTGGTCGCCCTCGAGAAGACGTCCACTACCGATTTTAGGTTTTTTTTTTAGTTCAACGAAAGATTTTTCAAGTGAAAGAAAATCTATGATTTTTTATTTTTTGAAATTTTTTGTTTGTTTTCGCATTTGTGCATTAGGAAACATGGTTAGAGGCAAGAAAAAGACAAAGACGTCATTGCGGCGGGACCTTCTTGGAAATATAGTGTGCAAGTTGATGTAGGAGGCGGCGAGAAGACATGAGTATTTAAAATGCAATTTTTGTGATAAAGTGGTGAATGGAGGAGTAACTCGCATGAAGGAACACTTATCCGGCTCACATAAGAATGTAGCACCTTGTGTGAATGTTCCGGATAAGGTGGAAGAAGAAATTACAGCTTATATGAAAAAGAGTACCATGACCAAACATTTACAACATGAGCAATTTGATGAAAGGGTCGAACTTGGTTCTTACTTCGGGAGTGAGAGTGGAAAGGGCTCTTCCTCCACTATGCATAATAGAGGTGCACAGGGTCCTATGGACCAGTATATGACTAATACAGGAGAGGATAGAGGACAAGAAAAGATGATGCCTGTGGCTGAGGGTCAACGACAGGTTTGCATAGATATTGGCAGATTTTTTTTTTAGAATGCCATACCATTTAATGTTGTGACATCGTCGGCCTACTTCAATATGTTGCGGTCTATAGGATTGTATGGTAGAGGCTTGAAGGCACCTTCCATGTACGAGTCGCGAACATGGATTTTGAAGGAGGATCTACAGAACACAGATTAGAGCATTGATGAGATTAAACGGACATGTAGTGAGACTGGTGTTATAATTATGTCAGATGGATGGTTTGACATGAAGAGCGGGAGCATGATTAATATCCTTGTAAACAATCCCTACGACACGGTGTTTTTACGATCTGTTGAAGCTTCAGATGAGGATAAAAATGTTGAATTCATTTTCAATTTACTATATGGGGTTGTTGAGGAGATTGGGGAGCAATTGGTTGTTCAGGTGGTGACTGACAATGCTAGTGCATACAAAGCAGCTGGTCAGATGTTGACGGAGAAGAGGAAACACCTCTATTAGACCCCCTGCGCAGCACACTGTATCGATCTCATATTAGAGGAACTTGGTGATTTAACTCAACACAAGAGCGCTCTTTTTAGCGCGAAGAAGATCACAAAGTTCATCTACAACCATTCATGGGTCTTAGTCTTAATAAAAAAGTTTTCAAAGAAGGAAATCATTTGTCCTGCAACCACTAGGTTCGTTATCACATTTGTGCACTGCAAATCATTTTCAATTCCTATTGCAAGTTTATTCTACAGGTTTGTCATATCTTATTTGACACTGCAGAGCCTGTTGGATGTGAGACAACCCCTTGAAGCAATGTTTACATCGACACAATGGCTTAATTCTGCATGGGGGAAGAAACCTGAGAGGAAGGAAATATGAAGGCTAATTCTAAATGATAAATTTTGGGCTAGTGTGACCTATGTCATATTGAGCACGAGACCCTTAATACAAGTTCTACGTTTAGTGGATGCCGAGAAGAAACCAGCCATGGGTTTTATTTATACTGCTATGGATGCGGCAAATGAGTTGATTGTACATAATTTGGGAGGAGAGGAGGCAAGTTATAAAGAGATTTGGGATATCATTGATGCTCGGTGGGAGGTTCAGTTACACTGTCATCTACATGCAGCGGCGTATTATCTCAATCCTCAATTTCAATATTCAGAGAGGAAATTCTCAAATCCGGAGGTGAAGCTTGGCTTGTATCATTGCATGGAACGACTAAAACCGGACCAGACCTTCAAGGAGCTAGCAGATTTAGAACTTGTTCTATTTCGGAATAGGGAGGGATTTTTTGGTTTGCAAGTAGCAAAATCTACTATTGCTAAACGGACTCTAAGTATATATATTTTTGCAAAGCATCTGTACATGCATAACACTTTAATATCTTCTGATTATCATTTTTCTTTTTGAAAATAGTTGAATGGTGGATCCAATTTGGTGATTCCACCCCTACGTTATAGAGTTTTGATGTTAGAGTTTTGGGTATCACTTGTTCTTCCTCTGGGTGTGAGCGAAACTAGAGTACATATAGTCAAGTGCAAACGAAGAGAAGAAATCGACTTTCAACACTCAGAATGAACTCCCTTATGTATATTATGCACAATAAGAGGTTGAGAGATAGGAGGTTGAGGAACAAGAGGTTGAAGGATGATGAGGACCATTGGTGTGTGATGATGTGGTGTCTGAAAATGAGTGGT